CACCTCTCTACTAACGAGCCTAATACCGATTAAGCCTTATACAAGTGATCCTTATACATTGTGAGATTATTAAGTTACAGACTTAACACTATAGTCTCTTACTAATTATAGTTAAGACCGTACTAAGCCCTAGTTTTAGTATACGTTCTATAATAACTATATACGCTATACGAGAGATACTAGTCGGATTGTCCGCTACCTTCTTATATATACTTCTATATCTCCGGATCTTATAGTAAGGCTATAGAGCGAGCGAGACAGGAAGGTATCTAAGGCGCTAGCGAAGGCTAGTAAGTACTACGTAGATATAGATCGTAAGTAGATTAAAATAATTACTATAAAGGGTTTGCCTCTAAATTATAGGGAATCGGAAGAAGTAAGGGATCTCTTTAGTAACTAGTAACCTCCTTCTCGAAAGACACTCGCTAATACGCTTATACCTTACGAAGTAGAGGCTAAGAAGGCGCTAATTACTAAGGAAGCTAGAGAGTAATAATATCGTAGTTTAATTAGCGATAGCTAGTCTAATCTCCGTAGCGAGAAGCTTATTAACCTTCTTATTAGTTTTAATAATTATAGCGCTATATAGAACTATTACTACCTTAGTACGAAGAAGTAGGACGTAGTAACTTTATATAATATCTAGACTATATCGATAGTAGAAATTAGATACGAGAACATTACTATAATCGTATTAGATAGCGCTACTAATAATAACGCTAGTAAAGTAATCTTATAGAAACGATACCCTTATTTAGAGCCTCTCGAATGTATTAGCTATTACCTTAACCTTATAGTAAAGGACTAGTTATCGCTTCTAGGTCTAAAGACATAGCTTATAAAAGCGAAAAAGCTAGTACGCTAGATCCGTTCTTATAGTACTATAAAAGGGATCCTAAAGTAATAGTAAAGGAACTATAGTATTTAATAGTAAGAGCTATCTATTCCTAGTACTACGCGATAGTAGGGGATTATATAGCTACTTAAGTTCCTACTTTAGGTTATAGACGCAATTAAGGTATGTTTTTAGCCCTAGTAGCTAGTATTTAGTACTAGCTTAAGAAAGAATAAAAAGGATTAATAGACAGCTATACGTAATACCTCGTAGGATAAACGCTTCTAGTAATCCTTACTATAGCTATTGCCCCTCTTTAAGCTACTCTACGAAGAGACTATACGCTATAAAGCTAAGAAATCGACTATATTAGTAGTCTTTCCTACCTTCTACTACCTTAAGGACGAACTTACTAGATTTATTATAAGGGTTAATAACTTCTAGAGCTTACTATATTAGGCCTTATATAATATACTAAACAAACGCTAATACGACACTATTTATACACTTTAGCTTATTACGTATCTCGGAGATCTTATATAGCGAGAGATATATCCTTTAGCCTTTATATAGAACGAATAGGATATTATTAAGAAGTACTTAGACAATTAAGAGATAAGAGGCTATATAAGAGGTAATAAGGACCTTGTTTTCACTTAGCTTAAGTAGCTCTATACGAGAATAGGAGACTTTAGTAATAAGAAGGCGTAGGACCGAGTACTACCTCTATCTACCTATAGTAATCTTAATAAATAGCGTACGAATCTAATTCTAAATAGCTCGTACTCCGACTTAAAGACCTAGTAGTATAATACCTTTAAAAATAGCGAGCCGCTACTATTTAATCTTATAATTAAGGCGCTATCTATACGTTACTCTATAGGACCTATAGAAAGGAACTAGTCTACTTTCGGCTTTATCTACTCCGTAAAGCGTAATACGCTTAGTCTTAAATACGCTTTCTAGCTAATAGTCCTCTACTATAACGCTCGTATAGATCGAAGAAGAATAAAGTAGTAAGAGCTTAATTTAAGGGGGGTAGAGCTACTATAGGAGGATAGGGCTATCTAGCTCTTAGAGGCTAAGGTAATTATTTAGACCGTACTACTACTATACGAAGAGATTAAGCGTAAAGAGCTAATAAGAGCTAAATATTTACTTAATAAGCCTAGGAGAGTTAAAGACTAGGAAGCTAATTCTAAATTTAAGTAGTATAGCGCTAATACTATAATTTAAGGTTTTCGTTTTATCTAAGCCTCGTATAGTTAGTTATATATTAATAGAGCAAATTATACTCTAAGGGATTAAGTAAGATTAAGCGTAGCCTATAATATATATACTCTCTACTCGTAAGGATAAGTATATATTTACCTACGTAGCTACTCGTATAAAAGCCTAGGCTTAGAGGTACCTGTCCCTTATTATTAGGACTTCTTAATATATAATAGTCTATAGACATATTATAGAACTAAGAAGGAGGTTTTCTTCGAGATATTCGACATGTTCTTGCAGCGAGGTCAGTCTTTGTTACATCCCTAATAGGCAACGACTTACAATCGGAGTCTGCTAGTAAGTATCGATAGTAGTACGAATGTAATGGTCTTTCACGGCAACCAAAGGTTACGGAATTGGGCAGAGGTCTTAAATGTCAGTAGTCTAAGCGCCCATAGCAGCACTGCCACTTGCAGTGGGCTCCAGAGTGGGCGCTTCATCGAGATAGACCCTGGCCGTCCGTGAGAAGTACTCGTGCGTTGACGTAGAGTGAGCATTACGTTGCCTCAGACATTGCCTTTGTTCCAGGAAGCGCCAGGATCAAAGTCAACTGTAGCGACAGCGTCACGTCGAATCGTGACGATGTCATGTCCAATTTTGGCTCGAAAGATGTGAAGTCTCTGATGCCGGGCGCTTGTGGTGTTGAAAGAACGTTCGTTGTCGCGCGGTGAGGTGCCCGGCTCCCCTCCATCACGTGATCCGACGTCGCCGTCCATCTCCTGGACCGAGTCTTTGTTTCCTTTCCCCGTCCACATCATGCGCCGCAATCCATTTCTCGCCGGTCTTGCGAAGGCTCTCACCACGATGCGTACTGGCGAAACGAAGTCGCTATTCAATTACACCAGCGGGCGCTGGCTGTGGAACGAAGAGGCACAATTAGCCGCCCGCTCCATATCATTCAATGTCGAGGCGTTGAAACAGGCGGCATGTCGAGCGCTGCACGCGCAGTCCTGTGTCTCGCTGGAGAAGATTGGTGAAGGCAATTTTAACAAAGCCTTGCGACTGACTATGTCGTGTGGCCGCACTATCATTGCCAAACTGCCGCATCCAAATGCCGGACCAGCAAAATTGACGACTTCATCAGAAGTAGCAACCATGAACTATGCGCGATCTGTTCTCAAGTTGCCAGTTCCCAACGTTCTTGCCTGGAGTTGCACCAAGGAGAATGCAGTCGAATCCGAGTACATTCTCATGGAAGAGGCCAAGGGCTCCCAGTTAAGCTCTGTCTGGCATAGCCTCCCCGTGAAAAGGAAAGCGCACATCATTCGGGAAATTGTCCAGGTCGAGGCACAGATGATGAGTACGCCCTTTGACATGTGAGCATCAGCATCAACGATTATCCGCCACGAATCTCACACTAAAAGCGGCGGCCAACAGGATAGGCTCCTTGTATTTCAGCGACTCTGGCATTTCGGGGTGCAAACCGACCACAAGCGACATCATCAACGCCGACAGCCACCGCTTTAGCATCGGGCCTATCGTGCGCAGCGAATTTTGGGAGAAGGAGCGCGCTGTCATGGGCCACAAGGGGCCGTGTAAGTGACTAACAGCTGCGTCAAACTCACACGATGCTAATTTACGGCAGGGACGTCGTCAACGCAGTATCTCCAATCTATTGCGAATCGAGAGATAGAATGGTTGCAAAAGTTTGCAGACCGCCATCCACAGTCGCATGACCCATGGCAGTACGAAAGCCCACTGCAGGCTTCTGCGGATGCTCACATCGCTTCGCTCAACAAGCTCAAGGCTGTCATTCCAGACATAGTTCCGCGCGACGAAGATTCGACGAGACCGAGATTTTGGCATCCTGACTTTCATGCCGGCAACATATACGTCGACGATGAGGCCAACATCACCGCTATCATTGATTGGCAGGGAGCGTGGATCACTCCACCGTTTCTTGGAATCAATCCACCGTCGGTACTGGACTACGGGGTCGATATGTTAATGAAGCTCCCGGACAACTTCAAGTCATTAGACGATGATGAAAAAGAAAGGCTCCGATACCAAGTATCGCAGTCCCTGCTAATAACCGCATACGAGACCAAGACAGCCGAGATCAATCAGATCCATCACAAAGTGATGCGATTGAATCATGGTCAGACATTGAAGCAGTTGGAAGCGTTTGCAAATTCGACCTGGGATGACGGTCTCTACCCTGTTAACGAGTGCCTGTTACGTGTCCAACGGTATGTGATGAGAAATCTACACATGCCATCCGCTCTTGCTAAGTCTTGGCAGAGAATGGTCACACTTTGGGCTCGATAAGGATTGCCAGTGTCCTTATGAATTCTCCGCAAGCGAAATCCGGCAGCACGTTGAGGAGGCTGACAACTTCAACGATAGTCAGCAGTTCTGGAGCAATCTTCGAGGCATCTTATCGTCAGATGGCTACACCACGAATGAAGATTATCCACGGGCAGTCAAGCTTTTCGAAGAGTTGCAAAAGACGGCCGGCCGATCTTCAACCTAGGGCTATGCAGCGACGGGCGGCGGAATGTATTCATCCAACTCTGGCTTTCACTACTCTGGCAAACCCAGGAAGCGTCGTTCCGAAGAACTCTGTGAAAGTGAACTTGTCCACATTAAGGAGTGATTACGGAGATCTCGAGACAAAATTGCCATCGCTGAAGCTCAGCCTTGAGCGCCTGCATGGTGGCACAGCGGGCGCAAGGCAGTGAGCGTACGGCTGCGAGTATGTTGTTCATTACTCCTCTAGCGGCTGCGAGTATGTCATGTCGTGATCGTCAAATCTGATTGTCCGGATCGTCAGAGGTACCCTCACCCCAACGAAAACGTACAATCAGATGCGGCGTGGGAGAAGCGATTTGGTCCACGGAGGACCAACGAAAACAATGGGGGCAGAAAATGAAATGTAACTTGAGGATGTGGTCCAAGCTCGTTTTTACGGTTGGCTCGGTCGGTCGAGACTCAATGATGTGCGTAGCGTACAAAGCGTGCAAGCCATGCAGTTCATGCTGTTCATTAAAGGGTGCAACCTGTGCAGTGTGCGGGAAGTGCGCCAAATACAAATGCAAGAAGTGTTGTGGACCTTATCCGAGCCACGTCAGAGTGGACGCGGGACATTGCTCGACGAATGCCTTGATTTGATCCCAGGATGTTTCATCAGCGAGGCTGTATATCCTCACGAGACTGTTCCGGATTTGATCCCCGATGGACTTGATGTAGTAGGAGTATTGAAGGACGTTCTTTTGAAATAGCACTGCGCGTGGAAGCAAGAATGGAGCTTAAATACCAGCGCTTCGGTAGTCCTTGCTTAATTGGGAACTCGAGCAACCGCAGCGGAACCCCAGCGACGGCAAAGCGGATTCGTTGTACAGAGAGATTCAAAGCCATGGCGAATAACGTGACCGATCGCTTGGGCTATTGAGTACTGGGAGGCATGACATGACACCTAAATCGCACGAAATCGGGCAGAGCCTGTGGAAAATTCATTTCAACTGATTGAGGAGGGAGACCTCCAGTTGCTCTCCGAGGTATGCGTGCTTGATATGGCGGCCAAGTGTGCGGATTTCAGTGTCCTCAAGACGCTCTGATATGCACAATTGGACAGAGTTGAGTTTCTTCCTGCTTTTGGGAGACAGCAACTGTAGCCACTTGACTAGCAGACAGTCTGAAGCATTTTCGAATGGATCCAACCGAATGAAAAAGTCGTTGCAGCCGAAGTAAACATCGACAACCTCCTCATACACTTGGTGTGATACCGTGGCTAAATCGGACAGTCTGAGATCGCTTGACGGAACATATCTCTGTAGCGGTGGAGACACTGGCCGAATGGTGATGGGATGTCGAGACGAGCTGCCCTCGATACGATTGATAGTCAAGTATTCCCATATTCGCAAGCGAAGCTCGGCAGGGAGTCCGAGTAAAGATGCTTGAGAACGTTTTTAAGCACCTTGAGACCTGGAAAGACTGCGAAACGTCGATCGCCCCGGTCGACATCATGAACGAGTCAATGCTGAAAGCAAATGCGGTGGTTTGATGCCAAGGACGTGGAGTCTGTCGAATGAGAAAAGAGATGGTAGACTTTTCTAGGCGAACACGTGTTTTGACGCAAATCTAAGCTTGCACCGAGGCAGTAATATACACACTTCTCTCTATAAAATTAGCTATATACGTAATCTTCTTATTAGCAAGTACTACTAATAGTGCCTCTATTTCGACGACAATTAAGAGAGTCCTTAAAAGTATAGCTAGTAAAATAGCTAAAAGCCTAGCTCTCGAAGAAAGGATTGAAAGGATCTAAGTATACTAGCTACTTACTCTATAAGGGCGTAGCATAATGGGCCCTAGAGGTAGGGATAGCTATATACGAGCTTATATTACTTAGGAGATAGTTATCGAATGCCTATAAGCTATACGTTAAGATATTAACCTAGAAGCTCTTTAACTTAAGTAATAAATAGTAGACTATAGTACGCTCGCTTTTATAGGTTTTCGAGAGCTATAATCCTAGACGTCCTTAGTAACCCTAGTATAGGACTACTTCCTATAGTATACGCTTATCGCTAGTATAGATACTTAGTCTTTATATCTCTAACCTCTAGATACCTTAGAGTCCGTACCTCTAGACAGTTTCAAACATTCTATCGTAATAATACTACTTATATTACATACTAACTATAGACGTACGTGTCTTTATAAGCCGAAATCTACTTCTATCTATACTAGTTCGGGTATAGTACATATTAATCTATATAATATACTAGTACTACTATCTAGTATTCTCTAGCTAGCTGTACTAATAGCTATTCTTACTAAGCCTAGATTGTGTTATTTACTTCTAGATATAGAGCCTAAAATATAGATAGTATTGTCTATATATAGGCGAGCTTATCTCCCTACTACACTCTAGCTATATACGAAGTATCCTTCTCGTTCGATACTATAGGTAGCGTATAAGTTGCTTACTAGCCTACCTACCTAGCTTAGTTAGATAGTTATATATATTTCACGTAGTAGCGGGCATACTAATTAGTATAATCTACTAGTAGTACTACGTAGTGTTTCTCTAGCTAGTCGCACTAATAGCTGTTCTTCTTTAGCCTAAAGACTATTATACACGCCTAGATATAGAGCCTAGAACATAGATTAGAGGTATAGACACTTAGAAAATACGTTTCTATATACTATAGAGGCCTATAGATAGCCTAGCTTCCTAAACAGAAGTAAATTCAAAATCTAGTACTATTAAATAAGTAGTAAGTAATTAGTAGTTATTTAGGGAAACGCTAATATATTAATTTTGTACTATCGGCTTAATCTCGTCGCTACGACTATATAAGTAAACGACCGTAGCAATCTAGAAGGTACGGACGCTCTCGTAGTACGATATAGTACTATAAGAGGCCTATAAGACAGCCTAACCCTTCAAAACCTAGCGCTGTCGGAAAGACGTAAAAGCGAGACAAGAAAACCGGTATAACAAGTCTAGTAAATTGCCGAACACTGTTTCCGCCACTAGGAATTTATATACGAAGTAGCTCTTTAGTTACTACGTCTTTAGTAGAGTAATAGAGATTATCTAGCCTTTTAAGAGAGCATAAATAGCTACTCGGCCTTATATTAAATATACCCTTACTATACTTTTTATTCGTTAGTCTATATATAAGGGCTAATACTAGTACTCCCCTACTACTATAACTTAGTATCCTTTACTCTACTAAGTAGCGCGCGGCCTATCCGCCTACCTATAGATATACGCGCGTATACGCTACTTTCGGGCCTCTAAGGTAGAAACCCTACCTTATAAGCGTCCGTAAACCCTACCTTCTATATACCTATAAGTCGTATTTCGAGTATCTATTATCCCTCGTACGCTAAGCTCTACCTTACTATAGTAAGTAGCCCGAATATCCCTTACTATTAAAACTAAGCTTTAAAAGCTGTCTCTATATCTAGCTTATAAGTCGTATATAAACAGTCGCTTTAAATATTTATCTAGGTATATAGTACTACTAGTACCTATAATATATCGTATAATACCCTAGCTAGATACGTTATTCTTAGAGCGCTTTAGTCGTACTAGTATTCTCTCGCCTTTAGAGTCGTAGAAGGCGATATCGAAGCGTATAATATGTTCTAATAACTAATATAGCTCGGAAGCTAGAGCGCTATTATTATATATAAGCTCCTTTCGTTAAAATAGCCCTACGAACGCGAGTGTTACTACTACGTTTAAATTTAGCTCTATCTTACTTTATAGTAGTTTATATAGTAACTATATAAGCATTCTCTCGATTACTAGCTAGTCGTACTTCTTTACTATCGGGTTCGTATTAATAGCTCCCTTTACTTATCGTTTAGTCGTTATATTATCGAATAGTACCGCTAGTACACGCCTATGTCTACGAATATTAATATAATTACGTCGATATAAGCTAAAATCGATTCCCTATAGATCGCTAATTTCCTAAAGAACTTGTACGCGATAAATAGGTAAAGTGTTTCCTTTCCTACTCCCTCTACTTACTTTCTATATAAGGTAGTAAAGACCTTATACTATCGAATCGCTATTCTATATTTCTTCCGAGTTACTAGCTTTAATCCTCTTTCTATTAGTATTAATAGCTCTAGTAATAGGTTTACTATACTACGCTACTACTAAGGGATATCTAGCTATATCTAATATTTTATAAAGGTTAGTTATAGAGACGAGATTAAGGCGTAATAAGGTATTTACTATCCTATTCTCTACTAATAGTAATTACGCTACTTCTAAATTAATTACTAAACCGATTGCGATCGTAAGTATATACTATATAGAATCGCGTTCGCTTGTCTATAGATCCGCACTTTCGTAATTCTAGTAATACTTAGAGTACGTACTATAGTAATATAATAATCTTATTATTAAGTAGACTAAAGAAGCAAAAAGTAGTAGGATACTATAAGTAATTAACTATTATAGTAGCGACTAAAAAGTGTAGAGTAGTATACTAAGAAAAGCTAGAGGTAGAGGTAAGAAAGCTAATAGCTTCTAGGCGTAATTTACTACTACGCTACACTCTTACTAGAACAGTAATAATAATAAGCTACTAAACGAAGATATCTATAACTAAGTAGTCTACGACAAAGACTATATTAAGAAGGATAGGAACATATAGGGATTTTATATATTTAAAGTAGACTATACTATACTAGAAGTAAGTAAATAATAATCGAGAGTATAGGGGACTTATAGGTACTTATTTGTACCTTAGAGGCCCTAAAGCTAGTACGAATACGCGCGTATCTAGAGACTGGCAGGTAGACGCGTACTACTAAGTAAGGTTAAGGATACTAAGTTATAGTAGAAGAAAGATACTAGTATCTAGCTCTTAATATAGACTTATAAATATATATATATTAAGTAGGTTATACTATACTAGAAGTCAGTAAATAGTAATAGGGGGTATAGGACGCTAAGAGGTACTTATTAATACCTTAAAGGCCTATATATAACTTTCCCCT